TGAGATCAATTTGTTAAAAGAAAATATAATTAAAAAGGAAATTCTATAAAAAAATGAAATTTTAGTTTATACAATTCTAAAAAAAAAAAAAAAAAAAAACCCACAAAAATATAAGAACTAAAAGTATACAATGAAATATTTTTTTAAAAAAAAATATTTTAAAAAAATTTACGAAAATAAATAAATTATTAATTAAAAAAATAATATTTATATACAAAACATAAAAGGCCATGATCTAATATTCATTAAAAAACCACAAAAGTCCCTCCATGCCAACTAATCCCACGATGCAGTTTTGGCCTTTTACGTAAGTTTCAAAATTGATTGCTTCCACATCACATTGATTCGGGCATTGATGCCGGAGATTAATGGATTTTAAACTTTAATTATATATATATATATGTATATATGTGAATATATATAGACATATATATACGCACATATACATAAAACAGCCTTAATTAGAAACCAAGCTAGTTTGTCACCTATATGTGAATATATATATACATATATATACACACATATATATAAAACAGCCTTAATTAGAAACCAAGCTAGTTTGTCACCTCAGACACTCGTGGATCAAAAAAGTAGATCCCAGTAGTCATCTCAGCGCCTGGTTATCAGTCCTTTGTCAAACAAAATATTGATGTGATTATTTTTGCCCTTTTCTTTTCTTAGAAAAATTATCTTTTTTAACCAAATAATGATGTCATTAATTAACATTTTGGAATTTTAAAATTCTGTAAAAAAAAATTAAAAAAAAAAAACTTGAACAGAAATTGGGAAATTAAATCCACAAAACCCATGAATTGAGCAATTTATTTTCAATAATTTTCATTTTGTAATAAAATAAAATTTTAAAATTTACTTTATTATCACGATAGAAATTTATATCTTTTAATTTTCTCAAATCTCGATTTTACATGCACCAATAAAAAATATAAAAAAGAAGACCCTTCTAACATCGCGATATTATTATCAAGTGACCGGAAAGCCTCTCTAGCTAAAAATTTTTTGTTTTTTGCATGTTAAATGTCTCTGCTGTATATCTCAATGGATACAACTAAGCAAATTCAGCACATTATATTTATTTACACAGTTCAATGGTATTTTTGAATTTTGATATAATCAATGAGATTGAGACTTGGACAAAAGAAGGTAATCAATGAATGAGTAAAGAAACTGAGAGTAAAAGAAAAGAGAGAACAAATAGTATAGATAGAAAAAGAAAAGAAGAGAAAGCAAGGGGAAAAGAAGAAGATCAGGGAGAGAGATACAGAGACAGAAAGAAGGGGGCAGGTGAAGCATATGAAAAGAGCGAAGTTAAAAAATCGATGCACTATGCAAAATATTACAGCAAGGGTAAACAAAAGAAGAGGTTTTAATTGTAAGAAAACCTATACGAATTCTCAAATTTCTAGGTTATAAATATATCTTGACTGTGTTTGGGTTGAAAGACAATCAATTTTTTTCTTCTTTTTTTATCAAAACAAAAAATATATCCAGTGGGAAGGACTTAATGCAGTATGGTGATTTTGGCATGAGAACCTTTCGTCATCCCACATTGGATGCTTGAGAGATTATAAAGCACTTTATAAACCAAGTTCGGGAGCATCAAGGGCGGATGCGCGAGACGGTGTGGTTGGGCCTTGATCCAATGAACTTGGGTTTGGTCCTGGAAAGTCCCCGGGCCACTTTCCGCAGAGATGCGGACTCGTAACTGAGTACGCTTCGAGCTGAGGTTCTTTTCGCCTCGTGCGAAGGGGCTGAGACGAGTGTGGAGCCCTTCGGATTTTCAGCTCGGAGCCTCTTGGCCGACCCCACAGTTATCCACACAACCCATATATTGGGTTAAACTGAACGGGGCTTACGTCTCGTGATCCATTTTTTTTATATATTTTTTTTAATTTGGAAATAGTAATATTTCTTATTTTTGTGAAGTTCATAAATCAAATAAACCAATAATATATAAAATATTTTTGTAATTCCTTATTTCTTTTATTGTTTGTACAAGATTCTAGACAAAAAAAAAAAAAAAAAGGGTGGAATAAACTTAAAGCATAATAATACAATTTATTTATTAGAATAAAAAAGAGAATATGAACAAGAGAGAGTAAAATGGATAAATCAGGGAAATTTAGAGGAGAGAAAATAATTGACAAATGAGTGAAGAGTATGAAAATCAGGACGATATTCGCACTGGGTAAAAGCCAAAAGATCAGACCACAAGAAATCTGGGAACCTCCTGGGCCCTTCTCTGTCAACAAGATCTTGTGGGGGTCTCACCACTTTGTCCTTTTTTGGACACACAAAGAAAACCAACGATCTTCTCTCCTTCTCCCTGTTCACTACTGCCCTGTGCTTCCCGCTCTTGTATATCCCATTTGTTAGTGCCTGCATCATCAATTATTCACCCATCTACATATATATATATATATATGTATGTTTGTATTTAATGTCATGGCCTACTTTTGTCTCACACCCATCTCTTTCTTTTGACATGATAGAGTTATAACAATCATCTTACCTATGCTGACATCAACATATGTATACACACAAACAAACCCAACTACTACTATTCACCAACTAGCTATAACATAACATGCATATCAATAATTCAATTAATTTCTAAAACAATAAACCAGCTACTTCACTACTTACTATCACTTCAAAATTAATTTCTTTTAGAGATTATAAGAAGTTACCATGAAGGTATCTCCGATGTTAATGACGAACACGTCAGGTCGAGGACGTATAGCTTGCCACTTGTTCTCCGTGAAAACTTGGAGACCTCCGACTTGGTCTTGGTGAAGAATAGCGAGAGAAATTGGGTCGGTGTGCGGCCCGGTGCCAAGTGTTAAACAGGCATTGTTGCAAAGTGGATAGTTATTGCATCTCATGATTGCATTCCCATCTTGGAAATAATTTCTGAAATACAACCTGTCTATCCCCAAACTGATTCCCAAAAGTTCAAATATCACCATTGATAAATCCTTCATTGCTTCGCAGTACTTCTGATAAACAAACCTATTCAAATAGATAAACCCATTAAAAACACTATTTTTTTTTTTTTTTTATCATGAAAGTTTAGATTTTTTAACTTACTCTCTTCATTTTTTTGTCTTTATCCATACATACAACAGAAAATATATGACAGAGACAACGGAAATTTGAAAAGGGTTCTTTTTTCTTTCTCTTTATATATATAAACTCTATTACTACAAGTATATCTATTTTCAGTAGAAAAAGTAAATTAATATAATTAATTATAATTAGTTATTGGCGAGTGATAATTTTACCCTGTTTGGTTAAAGTCCTCCCCGAGAACGGAGTTGAAGTAATCAGAGACACTGGTCTCCGAGTCATCCCCCTCAAACTCGTACATAAAAGTGAAAGTCTCCTTCCACGGCAACTGGGATTTAATCCGATCGGAGTGGGCTCCTGAGTAGCCTGCAACTTCGGCAGCTTTCCGGCGAAAACTGTGTTTCTTCTCTAACGAAAGCTTGAAAACACTGTCAATCTCCTCATACGCAGCTTCGATGAGCTTGCCGTCAACTCCATGGTTCATCACCTGGAAGAATCCATGGCTTCTACAAGCTTTTCTAATCTGCTCCACCGCACGCTCCGTCGCCTCTGCATCGCCCCGCATGAATCCTCCCAAGTCTATGAGCGGCTCATTCAGGTCCTGCTGAGCGTCGACTAAGTCTGACCAGACGAACTCGTTCGGTAACTCTGACTGTTTTTGAAGAGACGAGGAGTCGAAAACCAGAACACCATTTTTGTGTTTTGCTTCATCACAATGACCCAGAAGATTGCTCGAGCCGTTGGACTCCATTGCCAGTGACATTTTTAAGATAATCTACACTTTCTTGTCTCTATTTATAAACACAGAATAGGGAAAGAGACATATATATATATATAATATATGTAGTCTAAATTTTGGTTTGAATTATTCTAATCCATTATTTTTGGTCTCATTCTTTGCATATTAAAATATGTCAATTTTTTTTTTATTTTTTAAAAAATAAAAATAAATCTAATCTTCTATATATATGATTTAAACCGATATAATTTGGTCTTAATCCAATTAACCTCTTATTGTTTTAACCAAAAGAAGCAAACTAATAATGTTTCTCGTCTAACTCTATTTAAATCATAATTTTAATAATTTATATACCAAATGTTGAATAAAATTAAACGTGTGATTAAAAACTTTTTGTCGTTTAAAATTACGTTTAAAATTTATTAAACTATTATTTTTGATGTCACACTCTATATATTAAAATATATTATTTTTTTTTAATTAAAAAGTAGTAAAATTAAAATCATAAATAAAGATTTTCTTAATATGTATGAAGTAAATCAATGTATTTTGGAATCTAACTTAATTGACCTCTTAATACTTACACTAAGAAGCAAACAAACAATACTTTGTCTCACTCAATGTTAACACTTTTATTTAAATAAAAACATTTGGTGGACATAAATTAATGAAGTGA